CCCCCCGGACCCCCCTCCCCCGCCAGCGCTGCTTCCCTCTCCCCTTCCTGTGCTCCCCCCATCCTCCCCTCCAGCCCCCCAGCTCTGCTTACCACCCCCCTTCCAGCCAGCCCCTCCCCCTTCCCCTCCCTCTGTGGTGCGCTGTGCCCCTCAGCTGGGCCCAGCTGAGCAGCGTCCGCTTGCTTGGGCCCAGCTGAGCGCCAGCTGCTTGCTGCCCCAGGCCCAGCTGAGCGGCACTCCCACTGGGCCCAGCTGAGTACTGCAGTGCAGCATGGAGGGAGGGGAAGGGGGGGTAGGGCACCATGCAAAGCACTATATATATGATTCACCCAGGACCATCTCTGCATGCAGTCACCAGTTCACCCCACCAGGGTAGACACAGCCAGTGTTCTGAATACATCACCTTAGCCATATAAGCATATAGCCATCATGGACGATGTTCATCAGTTATACCAAGGAGCAATCCAAATTGCCAATGTTAATTAGTAAATGCACTGATCATCAACGTGTAGTACTTTTAATTCATTTATTACACTTCTCCTACCTCTCCAAGGAACAAGGCTTTCTGTCTTAAAGGGACTTTCAGGAGGGTGGGCCCTGTGAGTTGAATGATTTGGGGTGACACAAGTTTAAAGTACCAGCAGTAATTGCTTACAGATATTGTTTTAAATCTCTCTCAAGCAAGTTTGCTTGGACTTGTAAAGGAGGCCAGCATGTAGCACTACTCAGTTAGCATCCAAGAGAGGCTCTCTTGCTGTCTCACCACAGAGCACAGACTCAGCAAGTTGACCATCAGTCAAAGAACAGAAGGAGGAAGCCAGTCTTTGAAAATGAAATCTCACTGCTACTTCCTTTCCTCTTACCCCTGGAATAAGGGAGACACCTTTCCACATGCCTACTTCTGAATTCTGCTATGTACATGGGGGTTCAGTCAGCTCTTCACCCTGGAAACAATAAATAATGGGTGCTCAGCACCCCCCAGCAACAGCTGTTCAGCAGCACCACCCTATCAGCCCTTTGGCAGTGTGCCAATGAGCTAATCAGGGCTGCCAGCAAACAGCTGTTGTGCAATGCTGCCAAACATGGTTTGGTGGCTGGAGGATGCCTTGTTGGAGAGTGGAGAACAGCAAGCAGCAGGCCGGTGGGAGCCCAGAGGAAGAGGTGAGGGGGTGGAACCCTGCAGTTTCTATTGGCCATGATTGCTCTCACCTTTCAGCTCCCAGTTACTGTGCTTCTTCCATCAAAATCCAGTAGATGGTGGTGGTGTGTTACACATTTCTTAACACTGCCTGTAGTCGGAGCCTTTCCAGAGTCATTTCATGGAGCCTTTCCCCAGCTATGAATTGGGATCACCCCCTTTTAAGACATTTCTCTGAATTTTCCAGAGTTACACTCTGGTTAGATGCTGGGTGCTGATATCGTGCAACATGCTTTTCAATTCCTATCGCTTCCACAGGGCAATAATTTACAAAGAAACAAACAAAATCCTTCAGCATCTTCTTAATGTTTTCTAAAGCCAGCAGACACAGAGCCAGCTCTAGGCACCAGCAAACCAAGCACATCTCCAGGGGCGGCATTCCGGCCAGCCTTACCGCGGGATGCGGGCCTGCCTGTGGCTGCCCAAGGCAAGGGGCGGGGCGGCGGAGCTGGCGGAGGGGAGCGCTGCAGGGAAGGCACTGGGCAGCACGGAGACAAAGGCGGGGAGGAAAGGGAGACGGGAGCGGGGCCATGCGGCAGGATGCCGGAGCCCAGCCACCCCTACCCCCCGCAGCCTTCCCCTCGGTGGCTGTGCTAGGCAACGACTGAAGTTGGCAGGACACCCGATGCAGCTGCCTGGAGAGTGAGGTCCCAGTGGTGGGCAGGAAGACGGCTCGGGCGGGAGGCCACAAACTGGCATGGGGGCAGCCCTGCCGCGCTCCGCACACGCCCAGCCCAGCCTGGGCATGAAGCATCTGAACATCTGTGGAGCGGCAGCGGGGGGGGGGGGGGAGCTGGGGCCACGACTGCACTGAGATAAACCCCTTAGTGCGAATTAACTGTTACTTCTCATGGAAGGAGAGGAGGCGGGCAAGCGCTGAGCCCCGCCGCTTGTGAGCCGAGCCCATGGGAGGAGCGGGCACGCCCCGCACCTACCCCGACCCCCGATGGCAAACGCCAGCGAGCTCAGGGGCGGGCAGCTGCGCTCCACGGTCTGAGTCGCCTGCCACCGTCCCCGCTCGGACTGCCGCCGCGCCGCTTGTTGTTGATTTCACCCCCTCTTCCCCACCTATCCCCGTCCCTTCGGCCTCTTGTCTAATCAGCACCAGGAGAGCTCGGGAGACCCTCCTCCTGCTCCGTGCGGAGCGTGGACCCTGGCGCAGCCAGCGCCCCACCCAGCGCTCTGCCTCGCTCCTGCTCCCAGGTGTTTGTACAGGGCTGCCAGCCAGCTGCACTACCTCGCCGGCCCCTCCGCACTTCTGCAGCAGCCCCGGGAGCTGCTGGCCGCAGAATCCCTTGCAGCGGCTGCAGGCGGGGCCCGGCCCCTCTCTCTGCTCTTGCAGGGGAGGGGAGCCCGTGGCGCCCTGCTTCACACCGGGGAATGGTGTGTACAGCTGCAGAGAAAGGGGAGTAGGGGGACCCGTGACACTTTCACCTCCCCCCAGGGCGCGCCCATGTTTCCGCACGTGGTGTGAGGAAAGGACGTGAGGATTTGGCGGGGAGCGGGAAAGGAGACGGAGTTCGGTCAGTGGGGGGAGGTGGGAGAGGGGAGCGGACTGGGTCCGGTCTGGAGCAGGGGGAGTCGGGTTTGGCTGGGAGGGAAGAGGGGGCGCAGGGTGGATTAGGTGGGGGAGAGAAGAAGGGCGGACTGAGTCCGGTCACTGAGGGGTCGGGTTTGTCTGGGAGGGGAGAGAAGGTGGAAACTGGGTTCTGTGAGTGGGGGGTGTGTGTGTGTATGGAGGGGAGACAGGACGTAGGCTGGGTTTGGCCGGAGGGAGTCAAAGAGCCGCAAGGTGAAAGGGGAGCTTTCCTCCTCAGTGCCT